GTCGTAATTTACATTCTCGACGCTTGTATTTGAACGGAAAATAAATTGCGAACGACAGTGAGGTACTCGAAGACAAGGATTCTTCACAAGCGCTTGTCATCTAACTTCACCGATCACGCATGTCGCGCACGATGGGTCTGTGTGAAGAAAAACGGCACGTACATGGCGAGTTTATTACGATCGAATGAAGAACGAACTGTGAAATATTCTCACATAATAGTGCGTATATATATAAGCATCTGTAATATATAACGTAATACATACAAGTAATATAATTGACACGTTTGCCTTTCAAACTCGTGAACGCAGAACTACGAACGTGCCTCGATTTTTAAATAGCTCCGTGTTAATCTAGTCACGGTATACGATAATACTGTGAAACTTGTACATTATTCTTACATGTTTCGCGCTTTGAATCTTCGATTAAAAAAATCCTCCAGCTCTCGTGTTCTCAAATTATATAATACCACTGCGTGCCTCGCGTCGCTACTGCAACATTTTTACGAGTTCAATAACTAACGCCAAGTAGTTTTGATTACCCAGTCATTCTAGGAAAGACATCCTCCGTGTTATTGCGTTATTTATTTGCATCTCGCCCTACGTCTGCGCAGAATGCTGAGCGAAGCGGAATCCGAGCCGCGTGTAAAATACCATGGTTGCACGAGGCCGTCACATGATAAAGTAAATTGAATCGGATATTTACGCACGTGTGTGGTACACACGCAGCAACGCTCGATGTGAGCGTACGGCGGGCAACGGGTGTTTCGAAGTGTACCTGAACGTCTACACCTTGTCTGAGTGCCCGAGTGCCATTTTCAAGTGTCTATATCAAGAACGAGTTGCGGCAAAAATACAATGACAAGAGGGAAAGCAGATATCACTTCCTGAGGGGAAAAGGAGGCCAGATGGAAGATACTCGGGTTCGATCGAGTAACGAATTTGCAAAGAGAAGGAAGAAAACGCAAACGTTGCAAAATCAGACGTGTGCGTCGTAAAAGATTAACAAGCGCAATATTTCTGCCTTAGAGAACGGCGGAATATTCATAGTAGACGGACCGGGTGTGCTGTGCTTATTTCTCCTGTTTGCGTTGGCACCAACGTCTAGCATCATCAAGTGGTTGCTCTACATTGTGAAGCGTGCTAAACCACGACGGATTTATAGATAGCAGAAATAATAAATGTCTGCATTCGGCGCGTAATACGAGCCGTAAAAATCATTCGCGCGTCCAACGTTACGTAATCCTTTAACGAGAAGTGCATTAATGTAACGAATACAACTGCCTATTTTCGTCCCGGTTCAAGAGTATAAGATACCAGGATGACAGACGTAACTTTCTATTTTTATTCCTCGGCTCGAAAACATTGTCTCATACATCTTTCGCGAACGAAGAATGATTACTCACAAAAAAGTATCAATCACACCGAGTCCTCCATCGTAAGATTTTTAGCAACACTTCACATTTTCAGGAGGTCATTTGCCCCTTATACAATTATAGCGGGTTACGCATTCTCTATTTTTAAATGGTCAAGATACTTTGTGAATAGTGCCGGTTAATTTCCCGTTCTACCTCGCGGCCGGTTCGAGTGGCAGCCGGCCCGTTTGCAAAAAAAGAAACGACACGTATGGAAAGCTGGTTCTTAATTAATGACACGCCTAATATGCAAGCAATGTATCCGCGGCGCGATCATTATTGTCGAACCCTACCGCGAGTCGGATCTCGCGATCGTTCCGGCGATTTTCTTCTCGCGAGTGAAAGCAACGCCGCCGCGCCGGTAGCACAAGCCGAGGCCCATCGTAATACTTTGCAGACAAGCGCACTGCTTCGTGTCCGCTTTCTTAGGATCGTATTAATTGCAAACTCGCGCCCGCTAATCACCGGGAGTTTCCTCTTTCATTCTCCTACTCGGCGATCCCGGGAATTGCATTTAATTGCGATGACCACCGCGCGAGAGCTGTCGTTTTTCTCTGCGAGCGGATTCTATTGTGAGCGAAATTATTCGTGTCGGTGAAAGCTAATGTTACGGAGATAAGTGCCAGTACCAACGCGATGTTTGTCGCTTTCTATAATTACTAATTAGTCATAACGATTGACCGGCGCGCGCCTGCTGCGGATTCGTAAAGCTTTAGTGCGGCTTAAACATTGATATCGGGAATTATCCGTTTGCTGCTGAAGGCTAAAATTACTTCTAGACACCCGATAATTATTTCGGTACTCTACAGCTTGATTTTTTCGCGATTTTAAAGGTTAATCTTCTTCATCCTTATTAACACGGACTCAGCCAGTCAGTGTTAAAAATTGGAAATTAAAAGTTACGCGTACCATTAATAAATCAGATATACCGTGGCGCGCGAGGTGGGGCAAGAAATTCTCACGAGAAAGTATACGTTTCAGTGAACACGGCGCGCGGAGTAATTATAATTTACAGTTGGCCCGACGAATCTAACGATTCTAGAAAAGCGTTTCGCAATACGCCCCGTATAAACAAGCCAAAGATATCGCGCGATGTTAGCTCACACACAAAGGTAAAGATAGAATCTCCACTAGTGGCGTGAGTTCGCAAGTACCAGTGTAACGAATGGCCCGGCTTTATTTTTGGATCACTGGGTACATCCTGGTTAATGACGGCCTGATAGTGAATTTAGATTCAATCTCTCTTTCTCTCTCTCTCTCTCTCTCTCTCTCTTTCTCTCTCGTCAATCAAGAAATTGAAGCGGAGATGATTAAGCAAGATATCAGTTTCCGGTTTGTTGTTTATCCGACGCGGTAGATTAGGTACTTGTTTGCGCGCTACAATTTTCTGTTATCACGCATATTATCGCTCCTTAGTGATATTTTTAGGGAGTTTTGAAATGCTATCCTTTAAGTATGTATGTCGCGAATCACCTGCAATCTAAAACGCGTGTTCTATTTTATCTCTCTACAAAATCACATTCGTAACGTCTCTATGCGAGTGCAATTGCTTTCATTTACCTAAAATAAATCCGCGTGCTATTTGTGTTTAATAAAATAAGCTAATGTACAATAAAACTGTATATTTGAGCGCGACGAATATATTTCTTGTTATCATCATAATCTTGATCTACCCCGTCCTTGCGCAGTGCTCAGTATATCAACGATAATTGCGAGAACAAACGCGTAGTCGCGTTAAATTATTGTCTCCTTAATCAAGGCGGCAAGCTTCGGGCGCGAGTGTATTTGACTGCTTTACTTCGCCGTGCTAATCACGCTAATTACGAACTCGGATGTCTTCGCTTGCTCGTCCTCGTTAAATTGCCGACACCGAAGCCGCGAGATAAGGAAGGAAATTGGCGAACCGACGAGAGCCGTACGGACAGACAGCTTACCGAATCTCTATTGGATCAAAAGATGAAGATCTGTTTATGGCAGAGCGTATAAATCGCGTAAAAAGATATTGAAATTTCCAACAACTTTTTGCAGAAATTATATATAAAGAATTTATCGTATATGTGCAAAAGAAGGAAAAAATTCAGACAACTCTTCCATTAATTTCTGTAAAACGGTGCAAAATTTTATAAATGCTGTCGCGCGCTTTTTCTACTCTCGTCCCGCAGTTTTGCCATTCAATTGATTAGCATTGCAAGCAAGTGATTTTTCGTACAATTGGTATCTTTTGTTTCGCCGAACAATGGGACAAAACAACGCGATGACTGAGTCAAATGCATTTACATGATTATGCAGACGCAAAAAGTTACACTCGTCTGTCCGTCTTAACCGCATAAGGTGAACAATTCCTCATTGTATCGATGCACTGGCGTATAATGAGACTCAGTCCACGCGATGGGAATGCAATATTATCACGATATTTAGTCCGACGAGAATCGTCTTTGACGGTGTGCCGCATAATAAAATTAAATATCGCGATTGGCGAAATTAACACTCGTGGCCATTTCGTTTATCTCGAAAGTAAAAAATGTATGCGAAAAAGGAAAATGAATGAAATGAAAGAAAACTTATGTGGAAATAGTAGTGAAAATTTTTCCTGTTCGTACAAATTTTCAAACAAATTAATTTCTTCATAGAAACATTATGTAAACGAACATCAATAATTTGAACTTGGAATTCGATAGGACTATTTTCGTGTTAAAAAGCGACGTCTGTTGACGTAATTCACGAATTGGTGTAGGGACTATCATTGAAAAAATATCTTGCACAAACAGATAACGGTACTATTGATCATACAAATAACAAAACCACAAATATCTCCTAATTGCCTAGTATCAGACACTCGCAAAATCGTCAACCGAGATAATCGAGCATCTATTTTTAAGGGGTCATTCTACGTAAAAATTTTTTGGTGTTATTCAAGAGTGCCCTAATAAATCCCAAAGAGATTTATTTCATTGTGTGGTGTATTTACTGTGAAAAAAAATTGTTAAAGATAAGAATAGTTTTTGGGCCGTTAAATTGAAATAACTCGTTAATCTGAATTGGTAGAAATACTATTTTTCTCAAAGCACACGTAAAGAGTATATTATTGTTGCATAATTTATAGTAAATTCTTATCAAATTACATACTTTTCTATATAATATGAAAATGCACTTTTCACGAGTCAAATTCTATTCCAGGAATTAATTTATATCGCTTGTCGACTTATAAGACTTTCTATCTCAACTGGTCGCTTTCGTGACACGATAATCTCCTCCTATAACATTAATTAAAGATAGAGACCGGTCGGAGACTCGTATCAAATACATGTCACACTTATTATATTCTACCCGGTAGGTAAAGCGCACTAATCTGATGCGTATCATTAGTAATATCGCGCTGCAACCTGATTGAAACTTGAATCACATTACTCATTTTAAGTAGAACCACTGAAGTTCATTGCGAAGCCTTGCACACTCGTGTGTACACATATTATCAGATACATATTATTTTAATAAATTTCTCTCTTTAATCAATGATTTATGTATACGGAAATATTTTCCTGCAATCGTTAAGCAATCGCGCTTGACTCTCTCATGGAGAAAAGCAGTACGTGGAAGAAATAAGCACGGCATAAAAAAATGTACAAAGACATCAAGTTTTAATAACGAAATAAAACGCAAAGGGGAATAAGGGTTGCTCAAGCCTCGCGATAAGCGTAATCAGGAGGGTACATGATACGCTACTGCGACTGTGCAGATATTATGCAACGGACGAGAGGCTCCCTCGCCTCCTCATTCTCTCCTACCTCTCCTACCTTCTTGGCGAAGCAACAAGTTGTCTTGCAGCGCATGACCAACGACGTTCCTTCCGCGAAAAACTTCGATATTTCCGACAACTCCGCCGCGGATTTATCTTATCGTCAACGATTGCAAGACCGTCGCCGCTGCAGAATTCGCAACACGTGTCTTTACTTAAGGTGAGCGAATACACGTAGATTCACGCTAATGCATACAACGGCGCAGATGCATTTCACGATACGATACGCGCGCACGCGAACCGCAATTTGCAATCCCATAAATTGTTCCGAATTCGCCCGTTCCTCGAATCACATTCTACTACATTCTACTTCTACCGGAGAACTTCCACCAGAGAAACTATTCGTTCTTGGCGAAAAAAAGTTTGCCGAGTTCGATCAAGATAACGACCTTTAAAAAACACAATGAAGTTTCTGTGCGCATTCCCGCATGGAAAGAACTTCGTAATTTTAAAAAAATTTTGCAAATCTGTATACATATTTATAACTACATGGTAATTTGGTAATACTTTTTAGAGCTTCACATAACAGATCCAAGAAAAATTTGTAGAAGAATGGCAGATGATATTGATAAAAATATTCATATGATCAAGTCTTCCCGACCGAATCATTTTACGTCGATGTAAAACATTGTTTCCGAGGCGAAAAGGTTATAATTTTGATGTGTATTTCTGTCTACGGTTCGTTACACAATTCACACAAATTCATTATGCAAAAATATAAAGCTATATTCTCTTCGTATTATCGTTTTACATAACAGTTGTTGGAAGTACTTTGTACTATTACACAGTCAAGTTTACATTACTCTGGCTTTTATAAAATTGCCCCCTTTGACTTTGCAACACACTACGATAGCTCAAGTATAACGACAACGCGTTTTGATGGACGATAAGTACAAAACGTTGCGTTGGTGTATTTATCGCGCAACATTTTAATAATGTATTCCGGAGATAAATTAGACTTTAACTATTACAATATGAGAATATCGAGAGTGTAATAGTTTTCAGTTAAGCTATCAAAGTTAGCCAATCGTGTAAAGTTCATGCGTTCAGCTATTTAATGTTTCTCTGAAACGCTAACAAACGGCTATTTAATCCACGACTAAATCATTTAATAATCACTTATATTTCGTAATATTATATTCGCATATGTTTGTACGTTGTTTCATTTTTGCCTGATATTTTATTTCACTTTTAATAAGCTATCGGTATGGATATTCAAAATAACTAATATTTTATAACAACAATTATTGCGCGAACGTATGAAATAATAATTCAAGTGAGAAAATAATAAATAATTCAGCTTAAGGCTGCCTATTAATACCTGACGCTATCTCGAGTCTCTGCTCTCAGCTCCTCCGTTCCTTGGTTCTTCATGGCACTCACACATAAACCTTCACTAACGAAGACCCGATTAAACCCGATTAAACACCACACAAATAATTGGAATACGTTAATCGTACGCGACAGAACAGCATGAAAAAAAGTACAATTGCAACGAGCTACGAGAATAAATCCCGAAGGACGAAGAGTTTTTACGAGTTATCAGTGTGTGCGAATTTATATCGTGCGGTCGGTAAACCTAATACGAAGTTAAACACCAGAGTGTTGATTTACCGCGTCGCGATGCAGCTCGAATCGGAGTCGAGCCGTTCCATAACCGCGAGGTTGATGCTCCAAGAGCTCGAATATATCATCGGCGTCTTCAGCTCGATATCGTGCGACACGATAAAGTCAAGTTAACGGTTAATGTAGACGCGATGGACCGTCCAAAGATATACAAATGAGACTCGATATCGCAATACCTTTTAAATCCCGCGGCATGTACCAATAAACCATCGATAAATGATCATCGACGCGTTTATGAATCGTCAGAATGGTTTAATTGTGCGCAATGGTAATCACTGAATAGGCCGTAGCGAGTGGTCGCGTCTCGAGTGATAACAAGGCACAAGGAGCCGTTCACGCCGCGCTGCCTGCCGACTCGAGAGTCACCGGGCGAATAGCGGGGCAAGGTGAACGCGGCCGTATACGCACGCTATACGCAAAAATAAACGAGCGCCTCTACGTCAACAATCAATCACTGCGACGAAATATTCAAACCGTGAAATATTTAACCGCGTAAAATAAATATACGCCGAATATTCCCGACCGTTTTAACATAATTTCGACCAGTGCTACGATCGCATGTTAAATCCAGCGAAAACTTTATTTTAACGTGGACGAGAATTTATTTCCGCAAATCAATATTATTCTGCTAATAAACCTACATGATACAAAGCTTTGATGAATCCGCTAATAAGTCGGAAATTATTTTAAACTCGCCAATTACAATATTAAAATTTTGCGCCTTCAATTAATCTTCAGAATACTCGCCAAGTATTATACGATGATTGTAAGATATATGTGCATTATTCATGAGAATGATTAATCGTAGATAAAGAGTTTGTAAAAAAGAAACCATTATGTAACGACATAACGAATCATTTGTGATGTAATCAAGACGAGAAAAACACAAACGGTAATAACAGGCAACCAAAAATTATTTTTTTAAATTCCTGTCTTCTCTTTACTCGACGTATGTATTTATGCATGTGTAACATACGAATACGAGATCCAATTATTCCGTGTTATAATTTTTCCGCACTTGTTCCCGCAAAGAGAAACAAACAGAATTGGACGTTCGCCCAAATTCCAAAATAGCTGTGCACAGAAATTAGGACATACACGTAAGATTCTCTTTCGGTTTTAACGATTCCTGCCGCTATTCCGCCCAGCGGCTCGTTTTACAGAATTACGCGGCGCGCACTAGACGGGAGCAAACAAACAGATAAACGAATCGTCGACTCGTTGACCCAGTTACCGCTCCTCTCGATAGATACTCATAGTTAGCCATAGTGGGAGTGACAATGAAGTCTCGCGTGACACCATTCACCGTGCGATGAAAATATCGTTAGATAAATATTCATCGTACACGCTCGTGGCCGGCCGTATTTGTAGCGTATTAAATAAATATATAGCATTAAGAATTGTTTATGGCGAAAGTTAAATTTAAGGCCGCACCCACAGAAAAAAATTTCCGGATCCAATGCTATTACACTGCAGTGTATCATAAAACAGGATCGATATAGCGCCAATCATATTTATTATAGAGAAAGGAATATTTAATCTTAAATGAAAAATTCTAAAATCTAGAATAAAATGATAGTAGGTATCGTCTTTTGTCGAATATCGTAATGCCAACTTCGTGCGTTGTAAGATGGAGAGAAAATTTATTCTAACCGCAAGAATATACAAACTTACATTTATATAAGTTACTCTTGTCTCAATATAGTAAGTCAATCTTTTTTAATTCGATAGAGGAGAATAAGAATTTATTTTGATATTGTCTTATTTTCATGCTAAATGAGGTTGTGAAAAATCTAAATGCGTCAAGAATATTTTTTGTGACAGAAGTTCTTTCCGAGGATGCGTAAGCAATTTACGGAATGCAAATTACATGGTACAATTTGAAAATAAAAACATATATATGTGTGTGAAATCTTATATCTGTATATATTAGACATTATTGTAATATGTCTTCACGTAGATCCAGTTTAAATATTTGTTGAAATATGTTTCTTATGTATTTATTTCTACTAACTGCAATTAATCATTAAAGTTGACCCGGTACAGAAATTTAATATAATAATTGTCATTTTACTCTCAATGACTGACGATGTAACGAAGCATTATGCAGCGTAAAATGATAGCGGCCTGTATAAAACCGTCGCGCGTTGTTTACCAAATTTATGTTCAGGAAGAGGAATTGTGTATTATAAAACTCCCCGCGTGTAACGATACGGGTATTCGTTTCACGAAGCGTAACGCTGTAATTAAATAACGCCACATTATTGAGTTTATGTAACCGGGCCGGGCAAAGCGGAACAGACCAATTAAATCTATTTGTAATATGCAAGTGATACCGCGCGCCGGTTATCGTGCCGGGCCCATCGCGTAAAAGAGCCGTTATCAGAGCTAATGGTTCACGTGAAATAAAGCGGAGGAAATGCACGCGGTGTTTAGCGTTGATAAAATGGCGATCAAAGTGAAACGGGTTTTTATCTGGAGGGACGCGTGTGTCAGAGAAATTTCGCTCGTTTTCCAAAGTGGACAATAAATTAGACACGACACGCGATCGAGAGAGACATTACGTTACACGATCGTCCAAGTATTCGCTAAAGAGAAATTGACTTCGATCCTCGTCGAGAAACTCATTTCGACGCGGGCGCTCTGTGCAGTCCAAGAGAGACACATTTCTCATTCCGAAAAATAATTACCGAAGACGCAGCGAGATTTACCGGCGCGCACGCGTTAAACTGTAAATAGATAACCAACGCGTGCGCGATCGTAAACTTATCTAGTATAATAAACCGACGGCGGCTACAGCGTGTATTAAAACTCGACGGTGCGTTATGAATTTTCCGCGTACGTATTCGACGCACGTAGCGAGAGAGGTGCCGCGAGAACGTCAAGTATTTAATATAACACTGGCGCAACAACACCTCGGCCGACCTCAAAACGCTCGCAGCCGGCTGTAAAATAGCCTTTCTTCACTTTCTCATGGTATCGTCTGACCTATGAAAACACCGGGATTGCGCGCAGACATAAATTTGCGAGCGATAAATACGCGCGTGCGTGTAATTAAGCGCGTAATTGATTTCGGCAAAGGATGCTTTTATGACTGAAATTCGCATTTCACGCTTTAAGGCCAGGCAATTCGATAATCTCTTCGGTCCGGTTTCACCAACGTTGTTTAACTTCGAGCTTAGCTTAATTCATCCCTTTCCAACTGTTACTTTAGAAAGAGACAAACATGAATTAAACTAAGATTAAAGTGAAGCGACGTTTGGTGAAACCTTGGGGCTAGTTTCACAAAGCTCGATTAACTGTTAACCAGAGTTCAGTCGACTCCCTATCCTTTTCTATCTTATTATCTAAGAAGAGACAGAGAATCAATTAACCTTTGGTTAACCGACGTTTGTGAAACTGGCCCTTGGCAGTAACGTGTGCTCTCGTACATTTTCATCTCGTGAACTTCACCCCGAGGTCCCGTGGAATTTGTCGAAAGTGCGCGGCTTGCGTGGAAAAAATCCACGTGTAAGTTTTAAATTGTCCTTTTGG